AAAAAAAAAAAAAGAAATTTGATGAATTGATAAATGAACACAGAGAAAACTATCAAAGGCAGGCAAAGAAGACATCAGTGTAGATCAGAATAGTTCCAGAAGTCAAGACAGCCTTGGGCTAGAACCTTAAAATACAGGTGGGATTTGAAACATACAGACAGGACAGCATCAACAAAGACCTGGCAGTAACCAGAAACATGATGCACCATATGTTAGAACCAGAAAGTTTTAAACACGATTTAGTCCAACAGTCCAATTTTTATAGGGATGTTGTAAACATTCCATTAAAAAGCATGTACTACTAAGCAGAGGAGCTGGCATATCACAAACATTCACTAACTGGTAGCTATTATTACTATTACTCAAAAATAATAATTATCAAACACTTAGCAGGTACCTGCTGTATGCTAAGCAGCATGCTGAAGGAAGGGACTATAACAACGAGCAAGACAGACTTGAATTCTGCTCTCTAATGTAGCTAAGAGTCTAGTGGGGAAGACAGACAAAATAATCTTTGGTAGACCTGGGTTAGGAGGAAGTATGTGAGGGGCTGAAAGAAGAAAAGAGTAGGGTCATCCAATCAATGGGCAGTAAGAGAGAACTGTGTGTGTCTCAAAGTATGTCTTGAGACACATCAGGGGTTCTGAGTTCCCTTAAGTACCCTAAAGTTTCAAAGTGAGATTTTGTTTAAATAAAGGCTTTTGTGGCTAAATAAAGATTTAAAAACCACCAATCTAGTCCAATTTCCTCTTTTAATAAGAATAAAACAGGGCGATGGCTCAGTTGGTTAAGTGTCCAGCTTCGGCTCAGGTCATGATTTCACAATTCATGAGTTCAAGCCCTGCATTGAATTCTATGTCTGTCTATGCTGACAGCTCAGAGCTTGGAGCCTACTTTGGATTCTGTGCCTCCCTCTCTCTGCCCCTCCCCTGTTCTCTCTCTCTCTCTCTCTCTCTCTCAAAAATAAACATTAAAAGAAAAAAGAATAAAACAGGGTCCAGATGAGGTAAATTACATACTTGAGGCAATAATACCTCAAGTTAGTTGTAGACTGGGATACTTGCTTTGAACTTGAGCTGGAAACTACCCACTGATCTGTATGTCACATCATTCTGGCAGATGAACGAGCACTGGGAGTAGATGCATCCAGAATTCACAGGCACTGGCCAGGCAGGCAGTCTGGCCCTGATTGGATGTTGATGTGCTTTTCTACTTTAGGTCTCAAGCTGGGTCTCTGTGTCAAAATGATGCCTCCAATTCCTCTCTATGGTTGACCAGCTACACCTTCCAGGAGGAACTCACTGGCTCCAGGAGTAGGTCTGCTTCTGGGCCAACTATCTGGTACCCATACTTTATACTACTAATATCCTCAAGCACCATGTAGTTTGGCAAGTTGAGAGCAAGAACTGAGTTTAACCAGTTATCACAGCCTGTTTAATACCTACCCTGAGCTGGCTAGACCCATCTCTCATCTTCCTAACTACCACTAAGCTAATCACTCCTCCCAACCAGGGGTTTAGCAGAATCAGGTTATCAGTAAATTAAAGGACCTATATGGAAAAACCAATATTCCTCTGGTTAACCCCTACTTAACCCCTTTCAAGAATGAAATACTGCTTCATAATTTGGAGATTAAACTTTTGTATATATAGAAAGGGGTAGTTTACTTTGGTAAGATGAGCCTGCAGTTTAGGTCTTTAAACTGAGGGAAAACAAATGCTTTGGAATCTGGAAAAAAAAAAATGGGTTTAAATCTTAGTGATACCACTTAGTAGTTGCAATATCCTCGGCATTCTCAAATACTCTGAACCTCAACTTCCTTGACAATAAATAGGGAATACTAATAAAATTACCATCACAAACGTGAGACTCAAAATGCTCTTTTGAATCACAGTCACTTATCAAATGTACCATATCAATTTTCACATGAGATCATTAAAACCATACAGTTTTAAATTACCTATCCCTATAGCACAAATAATGGAGAAATGGAACCAAGGTGCTCAGTACAGCATGGGCTGAGTTCAGGATAGCGTAGGCAGACCTGGGTTGGAATCTGCACACAGCCCCTGCCACCGTCCCCTCCCTCACAAACTGGAATCCTAGAAAAGTTACTCAACCTCTCTAGCCTCAGTCTCCTCAAGTACAAAGTGCAGCTAATCTAACAGGGCTGCTATTAGTAATGAATGAGATAATGCAAGTAAAGGGCTTTAAACAGAAGCTGGTTTACGGTAAGGACTCAATAAATAGTAAGTTTTTCTATCGGTAGCTCATTTCCTAAACCCTATTTTCTCTACACCTCTCCAAAACTAGAGAAGCACTTAGCAAAGCCTAAATTACTTCAACAAATAATGAAAAGACAAAAGAAGAGGAAAGGAATGATGGTTGCTATTCCAGACCACTTATCACGCTAATGGCATCTGATATTGGAAAACACAGGTACAATATCCTGAAGAACAAAACCACAGCATACGCAATCTTTCCAAAAAAGTGGCAAAGAGCACCAATTGTGTCTTAGTTAGGCTATCCACTACCCTTTTATAATTTGGGCCCTACAGTAGTTTACCAAGCAGAAAGAGCTACAGGAAGGCAACTCTGATGCCACATGCAAATCACTACTTCTTTGTAAACCCAACCTTTATTTTTTCAGCTCAAGCTCATCTCTATTATAAGGATTTCACTGACTCCTCCTAGCAGACTCAACCACTTGCCCCACTGAATTTTTTACACACTTCCGATAATAACAATTACCTAATAGAGTAGAGCTATTTGCATGCCTCTTCCCTACACTCTAAGTTGGTAAAGATCCCGTCTTACATTGCCAGTGCTTAACACACAGACCTCCATAATTGCAAATTACAAGGATGGATTTCACCTTCTTTTTCACTAACTAAGGCTGCTAAGAGACAGCTGGGTAGACTTTAGTAGAAACTCACATAAACTAAGTCTACCAGACCAGACCCCTGGTTTTTGTTTGTGTGTTTGTTTGTCTGGGAGAAGGGAGCTTGAAGGGATTACTAGCTGTTCCAGCTTCTCAGAGTTATTTTCTCAAACACACAAAAGATAGAACCAGTCCATACAGAATTTCCAGACCACAGATTATATCTTTCTACGTAAATAAAACAAGTAACAGAAGTTTCTGGGATGGATGCTAGTGGTTACATATAAAGTTGACCTCTAGCCACGACACTCTAATAAGTCTGTAGTATAAGCATATTATACAACTAGAAGCTCTCAAGTTCTTAAAACAGTAAGGGAAGAAAAGCGAAGAAGCAAAAATAAAAACTGTCTTACATCAAAACTTTAAGTTCTTTTCCCCTCTGCCAATTCTTTTTTGCTCTTTATCTCAATGAACCCTGATATATGTAATTGAAATCAGGCTCCCTCAAAGGAGGGCTCATGACTAACAAACCATACGTAATAACTTCAATACTGTATTTATTTTTTCCAGGGCACTTTCAACTATATCTCACTGAACCACAGTCAACCGTAATCACAGAAACTTAAAACTGGATGGGGCCTTGGAGGTCATTTCCACAACCACCCCATATCACCAACCAAGTGGTATCCAAACACCTCTAGTGGTTGAGAGGTATAGGTCTAAAATGTTTCCTTAAAAATCTCCCCCTGCTCTAACCACCTGTCAGTTTCTCAGTCTCTTCCTGCCACATTAATAACCCCAATCAAGTAAACCAAATCCACCAAGTCATCCTACCACCAAGCAACAGTCTTAGCTTCTCAAGTACACTTCTACTCCCTTTCTCTGAGCCTCACCCCCAATTGTCCCCAGTCACCCACCTCCAATACACAGCCAGAGCCTCTTAGATTCTGATCCCTCAGAGATCCCACTGGTGGTGGGTGGACCCCTGACAATCAACCCCCTTCCTCCTATCCCTCTGAGTTGTCCATATGCTGTCCTATGCAAGGCTATAAGCAACCCTTGCTATGAATGTACCTTTGGCCTCACAATAATCTCCCTTTCCTTTCTTACCTTCTATTTACTTCTCAGCGCTATCCCTTCATTCCCTTTAAACTCAATGTCTCTTTCCTCCTAGTGATTCAAGGACCACCGGTAATTCAATACATCAGTTGTTAAATGTCCATTAGACAGGTAAAGGGGACATACACCCTCAAGGAGCTCACCCTCAAAGAGCTCAGAGGTCTAGAAAGAGCCAGAAATAGAGAATCATTTACCCCATTAGATTCAGCTCCTCTGGGAAGCCTTCCCTAGCTCAAATTGAACTGGCCCCCTCTTCTCAGTGCCACCACTATACCTCTGATGCTACGACTAGTTTTCCTTCTGTCTCCCCCACCACTAGGCTGTGGGCTCTTCTATGGAAGGGCCCCTATGTCTCTAGCACTTAACCCAGGACTCAGCACAAACATATATAATGTTTGTTAAATGAGTGAAACGATGAATTCCGGTATACAATCATTCATTCTTCCATTAGATGCACAAAACTTTATGACACATTATGTACCAAGTCCTAGAGTGTAATGATAAATAAAACAGTTCTTACATAAAAATAACTCTCAACACTGTAATACTAGATTAGCACTCTTCCCTGGTGTGCGTCCCCAACCCCCACCCCAAACCAAACCGGTCTTCTCCTACAGCGAAAGTCCGGCCTTCCCACGCAGAAGTCCACGCCCCTCCAACTCAATCTACCCCTCAGCCCTTCAGTCCTACCCCTACGACCCCCAGTTAATAATCTCAAATCTAACGCCCTCACTTCTTTGGCTTCTCTCCCTGTCCTCAATCTCCACCCTTGAGGTTACTGCAAGTCTTCTATCCCCATGACCGCCTTTCAGTGCCGGAGTGCAGGTTACCTCCGATTTCCCTCTCCGCGCACCCGCCCCCCAGTTGGCTCCTTCCTTCTCAGGGTCCCGCCTCCCCTAGGACCTCACTCCCGATAACCTCTCCTCCCCCTCCCTTCAGGTTTAGGCTGAGCCTCTTCTCTCCTTGACTCTCAACATTTCTTACCTCATCTAGCTCCCGTTCCCCGGCAGCACCTCCTCCAACCTCCACCTCTACCACTGCCGCCATCTTCACAGCTCTCCCCCTCCCTCCGGTCCCCGCGCGAGCCAGCTGCTTCCTCCGCTCAAGTGCTCCTAGCCAATCGGCGGCGCAGGCTCCGGCAGGGGGCGGGGCAACAAGTCAGGCCGAGTCTTGAGCGGTACTAAGAGACTATCTACCTGCTGCTCACTTAAAGGTCAAGGAAGGACGGTTTCCATGCGCTTCTAAGCTTCCTGGGGGAGGATTCTTGGAAAATGAGAAATTTGGCTTGGATTTTTTCAGTGCAAATATTTCACCAATTCTCCCCTTGGGAGCGCCAAAAAGAAGGGTCTCTACATCGTCAACTTTTGCGACGCTCCCTCACTCTAAGCTCCAACGAGAGAAGCCTGGAGGCTAAGGACTACATTTCCCAGAATACATTGACTCTGACCCGGAAGTTTAGATTCCGCGCTGTGGACAGATTTATAGTGAGCGGAAATTTGCATAAAATATAACTAAAAATATACCTTTAAAATAGATATAAAACATACATAGATGCACACGAATGCATTTTACTGGCTATATCACATGTCTTCTTGCCTCGGTGGGAATCATTTTCCAAAAACAGCGGCTTCTCGAGGCCCCAGGACAAATTCCCGGAATTCCGGAGGCGGAGAGTAGTGCTACGAATCAGAAGTCGGAGGTCAGAGGGCCAAATTGGCGGGAGAAAGGATTTTGTGGTCAGCGATCTGAGGCTGCGATGGCTGTTCCAGGTCCGTTGTTCCGGGTGAGGGGCTTTGAGGGTTGTTGGGGGGGGGGGGGGGCAGTTGCAGAGAATGGGTAGCGGTCAAGGAATGTACAGAACAGCGCGTTCCGAGAGGGGGAAGTGCCTGCACGGCTTAGTCTCCCGAAGCGGAGAGCTGAAGAGTCTCGCACCTAGTAGGTGCTTTGAGGGGCCAAGCTGAATTAATATTTACTAAGTACCCACCATGTAAAAAGGGTTTTGCGTACATCAGGAAGCCATTGATGATTCCTAATAGAGGAGTAACAACGAGAAACAAATTTAAGAAGATTGATTTGAGAGGGGAGAACAAATCAAGAGACTTGTATATTTAGTTGAACATTTGTTGCGTCTTTACTATGTGGTGGGCTCTAGGGGTATAAAGGTGAATGATTTAAGGCACCACTCATGCCCTGGGGAGCATCCATCGTTCCCGTACTAACCTATTTTGTACTTGCTGTTCCGTTGCCCTGTGGTTGCATTCTAGTTGTTTCACGTGTTTGTTGGAATCTCACCACCTGGTCCAGATCCGTTCCCTGCCCACTGCCCCACAAGCCCATCAAGGGCATCAGAAACAGTCTGACTTCCTGCAAAGATTTCCAGAGAACCAGCCATGGCTAGTTTGTTTTTCTTTTGTTCTCTCCTTCAGGAGTAGCATGAGGATTCTTTCTCTTCTGGAAGCTGACAGGACCAAAAAAGGCAGTGCCAAAGTGGTGACAGAAGAGATCTTAGGAGAAAGTATTTTTGCCTTGTACTTGGGATAGCTGCTGGGCCCACAATGGCTCCTGTAAAGATTAGCCACATCGTATCATTTTCCTCTCAGGTATGTTAAATTAGCAGTTGTGATTTTTTTCTTGGCAACTGAAAGAAGTGACAAAAGTAGGAGACTTGGCTGCACTTTCAGTAAACTCCCAGTTTAATAGAAGAGACATCGTCCCTTCTTTGGGAATCCAAAGTCAAAGGAGGACACACAGCTCTTGCCCTCAGGTTGTTCCCAGAGCAACGCAGGGTGCATAAAAGAAGTGTTCCTGGGAATTGAAGGTAGAGAGGAAACAACTTCAGGATTCCACCCTTAGTTTGAAGGGAACTGGCAAACCCATAGGCCCAAAGTCTGTACCAGGGTTCCTAGAAGGGCAGTTTAGTTACTCTGTCATTGAGAGCACACCGGGACATTCAAGGTCATTCCTGACCTGTGAGGACATCACCCCCACCATCAAAAGTGATCTCAACCTCCTCCCTAAAAGTTCACTTTTGAGAAATTCCAATTATCCAGATTAGATCTAGATGCTGAGGCCTAAGCCCAGGATTTATACCATGTGGTGATTCTTAAGAACTTCCCACTCTTTCCTTTGCTGTCATTTCTATCCATACCTTTTCTCCCCACTCTTCTTCACCTTCTGTTGCCCTAGTCTTTCTCAAAGGATACCATTGGCATTTTGGGTGGGATAAATCTGCATTTATAGCAGTATCATTTACCTGATGAGGTATTTAGCATCCATGGCCTTCAGACCCTAATGACAGTAATGCTCCCTGGTCATGATGACAGTCAAAAACATCCCCACTCATTTCAGAAAGACTCTTAGAGAGCCTTTTGGAACTAATATATCAACTCCTAAGTGAAAGAAAATAAAAATTGCCCATATCCTTCTTACCTACATAGTCAGCCTAAATGGTTTTCTTCAAAGATTGAGCCTTATAAAATGCTAGAGAATGTTACTTATCATCTAACACTGAGGTTTTCAAACTGTTCTATGGGCACCCACTTCTAATTGAAGTGAGGTGGTGCATGTATGTCTCTAGACCCCCCAACCTGTGTTTTAACCAGAGCTCTGGTTTTTTTTGCTGAAAATACACACACACACACACACACACACACACACACACACACACACACACATTTTAGTGTAAGATTTCAGCTAAAAGGAAGGATTTTATTGCTAAAACAAAAAACAAGATTGAAAACCATGAGTATAGACTCCCTCCCCTTTACTTATGGATGAAAGAATTTAGATCCAGAGAGAGAAAGTAGTTTGCTCAGGGCCTTGCCACCAAAAAATATCTAACTGTGGGTTAGAACCAAGAATTTCTCTCTCGGTGGGTGCCTGGGTGGCTTAGTCGCTTGTGCATCTGACTTTGGCTCATGTCATGATCTCACAGTTGATGAGTTCGAGTCCCACACTGGGCTTGCTGCTGTCAACACAGAGCCCACTCCAGATCCTCTGTCTCCTCCTCTGCCCTTCCCCTGCTTGTGCTCTTTCTCTCTCTCTCTCAAAAATAGTTTTTAAAAATTTTTCTCTCTCGATATTGCTATTGTTGCCTTGGAACAAATCACTTTATTCCTACCCATTAGTTGTAAACTCAGAATAAAAATCCTTGCCTTTCTTTTCTCATAGGGCTACTTTGAAGATAAAAAAATGTCTATGAAAGTACCTTGTAAATGAAGTGAAATAGCATAGTGTGGCAGTTAAAAGCCTGGATTCAGAAAGCTAGATGTTCTGATTTTGGTTGGTTATTTGGCTTTGTGGCCTTGGGTAAGTTTCTGAACCTAAGCTTCAATGTATTGATCTGTTAAGTAAGAAGCAATAATAGCAACTAAACTAAATAGTAAAGTGTTAGGAGGATTAAATGAAGTGGTTTGGTAAATGAAGGAGAGGTAAATGGTCTGTAAATCCCTGGCACATGATAGCTGTACTTTTATGGACTCCCATCTAGTGGTTCTTCTATCATGGTAAAATGCCTGGAAAGGTTTCAGAATGTAGGAATCCCTCATTCATGGGCATCCTTTTTACCTTTCAGTTCAGTGAGGTTCCTGATTACTCCTTCTCTCTCTGACTTAGGATCCCAAGTATCCTGTGGAGAACTTGCTGAATCCAGACTGTCAGAAGGGACCTTGGCTCAGCTGCCCTCAGGACAAGAGTGGGCAGCTGAAAGTGGAACTCCAGCTGGAGAGGGCAGTGCCCATTGGCTACATTGATGTAGGTGAGTGAGTTCTCTGAGGTCTAGGAATCTGTGCGGGAGATGCAGGAGTCACATTCCCCTCCAAGTGCTCCATAATGTCTCAACTTGGTCTAGCTGAGCACTTTTCATGGAATAAGCCCTTCCTGGTCTGAAGGTGAGATGTGGCCCAGGTGCCCTTCTCAGGTGTATGGTGTTGGCAAACTCTGAGGTTTCCGTTCACATAGAATGCAATGGGAGGGGCACCTGGTTGGTTTTAGTGGGTAGAGCATGTGACTCTTGATCTTCGGGTTGTAGGTTCGAGCCCCACATTGGGTGGAGAGATTACTTAAAAATAAAATTTGAAAAAAAAAAAAGTAGTGGGAATGGTATTCCCTAAATTATTTAACGTATGTGCCCTGCTTTGATCTGAATAGTCTGGGTGAAGCCTTAGGATGCTGACATAATTACAAATGCCAACAAATAGAACCTGTAAGCACCTATAAATATCATTGTCAAGAGGATGCTGGGGATGGGCTCTGCAGACTAATCTGGGAAGTCTCCATAGGAATTTGCGGGTTGAGAAGGTTGGCCTTAGCATTCTCTGGAGTAGAGAACTAACAAAGACCATTGGCCTCAGCTCTGTAGGGCTCCCTAGCAGGGGTCTAATAGAGACAGAGATTAGCACTGCCTGCCAGAGCCAGAGGACAGGGAAGCAGCAAGTGTATTGAGTCAGGGAAGGTTTCTAGCTGGGAGGACCACTGTGAACCTTCATACTGTCATTTTGTGGACTGAGGTCTTATCCACTTCAGTTGCCAGTTCACTGTGTTCCTTGACCCTTCTGGGCTTCCAACCAGCTCTAGAATGGAAGAATGTCCTTTTCCCACCCGATACCTTGTGTGCAATCAGGAGAGCATCTGTCTTCCCATTACCCTTAAATCCTTCTCTCAACCTTTTGTCCTCAGGTAACTGTGGCTGTGCTTTCCTGCAAATTGATGTGGGCCGTTCTTCCTGGTCCCTGGACAGACCTTTTGTCACCTTGCTCCCTGCAACCATGCTTATGTCCCTGGCTGATTCAAAGCAGGGGAAAAACCGCTCAGGGGTCCGCATGTTTAAAGATGGTAAGGAAGGCAAAAACAGAAATGGGAAATGGACAGCGAGAGAGACTATAAGAAAGAGATGCAGTCATGCTAAGCTAGACAACCCACTAGAGAGGGCCATGGAGCTGTTAGGTGGAATGGTGGGAGGGGCCTGTGAAGGGGCTTGGTCGTATCTGTGGGGGTATGGGGTAGGTGGTGAGTGAACAACTACTGGTATGTTTGTGTGAGTTCTCTGTGATGACAGTATATGGGAACCGAGAACATTTATGCACTATGATTTATATTTACACATGATTCGGTGGAGCCTGATGTAGAGCCTGTATTTGTGAGTAGTGTTTTTATTTGTATAAATGTACATTGGTGTGAGTACGGTAGTCGCCCTTTATCCACGGTTTCACTTTCCATGGTTTCAGTTACCTACAGTCCACCACAGCCCAAAGGCATGATATTCCTTCTAACATATTATTAGAAGGTCAATAGTAGTAGCCTCCCTGTGTCACAACGCCTATGTCATTCACCTCACTTCATCTCATCACGTAGGCATTTTATCATCTCACATCACCCCAAGAAGAAAGGTGAGCAGAGTACAGTAAGATATTTTGAGAGAGAGCAAGAGAGAGAGACCACATTCACGTAACTTTTATTATAGCTGTTGTTATAATTGCTCTGTTTTATTATTGTTATTAATCTCTTCCTGTGCCTAACTCATAAATTAAGCTTTATCATAGGTGTGCACGTATAGGAAAAAACATAGTATATATGAGGTTCGGTGCTATCTGTGGTTTCGGGCATCCACTGGGGGCTTTGAACATATCCCCCACAGATGAGGAGGGACAACTGTATAAGTGTTAGTGTAGAATAAATGTTTATATAAGTGATGGAAGACTACAGGATGGATATGGTTAGATAGTATATAGTGCTTCCTGAGTTCCAATCCATGCAAATTTCTGTGTTCACTAGGCACTGCAGAACAGACATAAGATCTGATTCCTGGACTTTGGGGACTTACAGTCTAATAAGGATTTGTCTGTGTTGGAGCTGAGGTGTTTGTAATGTTGTGAAGGAACCATGATATGGGAGGGGCATACGAGGTACAGGGGATGAGGTGCTACCACAGAGTGCTGGGAAGTAAAGGTGAGAAGGGTTTGCAGTATTGCCATGTCACACAGTGACTATGGAGGCCATGGAGTGTTGTGAGGGAGGTGGAGGTCTCATGGTCCAGGAAGAGCAGATGTAGCTCATCTGATCCACTGGGTGAGTGGTCACCTCAGACCCCAACACTACAGGTACCTCCTGTTTAAAATGAGACATTGGGGGCACTTGGGTGGCTCAGTCAGTTAAGTGTCTGACTCAGTCTCAGCTCAGGTCATGATCTTACAGTTTGTGAGTTCAGGTTCTGCATTGGATTCTGCACTGACAGTGTGGAGCCTGCTTGGGATTCTGTCTCTCTCCCTCTTTCTCAGTCCCTCCCTCACTTGTGCGCTCTCTCTCTCTCTCTCTCTCTCTGTCAAAATAAATAAATAAACTGGGGCGCCTGGATGGCTCAGTCAGTTAAGCGTCCAACTTTGACTCAGGTCATGATCTCATAGCTTGTGGGTTTGAGCCTCACATCAGGCTCTGTGCTGACAGCTCAGAGCCTAGAGCCTGCTTCAGATTCTGTGTCTTTCTCTCTGCCCCTCCCCGGGTCATGCTCTGTCTCTCTCTCTCCTTCAAAAATAAATAAACATTAAAAAAATAAAATAAAGTTTAAAAAAAAACTTTCATAAGTAAATTGACACATTGGCAAGGTTCCTAGAGAGGTATAGAATGAGGATGTGCTGGGAACAGTGTGGAACCATGACAGAGGAGCGATGGTGGGAAGGCAAGGCACCAGGTCTGAGTGCACTTTAACTGGCCTGCTTAGCACTGCCAAACCCTGAGCACCAAAGCCTAAGGGGACAGTTACTGATGGCCTCCATTCCTTTTGTTGGAGTTTAATCTGTATAGTCCCTGTCTTTCGTCTCCTCAGTATTGACCTTCTCTTTCTTTGTCCCTCCCATTCACACATTTCCTCTGCCTCTCATTTTCTTTCTTTTTGCCTTCAGAAGATTTCCTGGCTGCGGCCTCAGGTGAGCCCTGGGATCGACTTCGCCTGACCTGCTCCCAACCCTTCACACGTCAGCAGTCTTTTGGTCTGGCCTTCCTCCGGGTGTGTTCCTCCCTGGACTCCTCAGATGACCCTGTGGGGGATCTCTCTGCTCCTGGGAGCACTAGGCTAAGCCAGGTATGTACAATGGTGGAACAAGGACTTCATATTTTCCTACTTTTCTCAGTTTCAGGTTAGAAGACTGGGGCTTGATTGAGGGATAAACACAGAAACCCACCTTCCCCCCCACCACACACACACACATTCAAGTAAAAACAGAAATGGGCTTGCTACCTTTTCTTACAGCTAAGAGTGAATGCCTCTCCATCCCTTTTGCCCTTGGGAGATTCAAGGCAGTGAACCTTCAGTGCAGTGTACACAAAGCTGTAGGGCCATTGGTTCTTTAGCAAGAATGAAATTTCTTTTTGGATTCAGACTTAATCCACTTTATGTTTGGGTTCCCATGGGCTACAGCTTTCATCAGACTTTTCCTTCTAGCACCTGAAAGTCCCAGGGCTCACTTACTATCTCTCTGTCATTGTTGTTGCCTGACCCACCTGCCAGGAAAGCCAGTTATAATGTTAGATATGTGGTCTGCAATTTCATTTGTTTTCCTGCTTTCTCTCCCTGTACAACACACACATGCTGCTAAGAGAAGATGGATAGGTATCTGGTCAGTTTGCCTCCCCTCTTCTCAGCCAGTTTTCTAGTTATTTTTTATTCCTCAGCCTATTCTGAGTCCTCCTGCTTTCTTGTCACTGTGTCTTCATTTATCTTTCCAGTACCCTCTACCATAATTCACTCACAAACAAATACAAAGATGGAATCACACAAAGCAAGAGTTGTACAATTCTAGAGGTCAAAAATACTTAGAGATTATCAAGCCCCAGCCACCTCATTTTATGTGTCAGCTAGGGACACTTGCATATTCAGATTCACACGGTGAACCAGAGCAGAAGACGGACTAGAAATCAGGTCATCTGTCATTATACCACAGTGCTTCCTATGCACGTAATACACCTCTAGAAACTCCAAACATCCGGGGCACCTAGTGGCTCAGTCGTTTAGATGTCTAACTCCTGGTTTCGGCTCAGGTCGTGATCTCATGGTTTGTGGGATTGAGCCCCACGTTGGGCTCTGTGCTGTTGGCTCAGAGCCTGCTTGGGATTCTCTGTCTCCCTCTCTCTCTCTCTCTCTCTCTCTCTCTCTTTCTCTCAAAATAAATAAATAACTGTAAAAAAATGAAGTTCCAAACATCTGACATAACCAAAAGAAGTTCAGTTCCAGGAGTGAACATTACAAGTGTCACTCTTGTTGAGGTTACTGAGAAAAACAGACCGAGCATCAGAAGACAAAATGGAGGAGGAAGAGGAGATGCTTCTGTAGTACAGCCTCGGGAGAGACCCAGAGAACGGAGACCAAGTAAAGCCTGGTCTGAGATTTACTCCTCCTTCATGGGAAGGGCTAAAAAATGCAGCAGGACCAGTGGAAGCCGCTCCATGTTCTCTGCCAGGTTCCAGTATTGTGGTGCCAGGGGGCTGACACGAATGGAGCTACAGCCCTGTGGGCCTGGCCTCAATAAAATGGAAGCTTTGTGAGATTAGGGACCTGTTTGTCTTGTTCCATACTGAGTCCTGGCAGCTGGAACAGTGCCTAGAACAAAGTAGGCTTTTAGAATAACTTACCTTTCAGGGGCAAGTTGTAGATAGGATCACCACCATAAAGTTTACCATCCAAACTAAGACATTTGGAGAGGAAAAAGAGTGCTATTAATTACATGGAGACAACAGTATTGTCCCAGGCAAACCAGGACATACGGTCTCCCTAATTATAGGCTAAATAAGGGCTTCTTTTGGCCATCTAAATTACTCTGCACCTTTAAGACCAAGGAGGGAGTCAGCAACTCCAGAGCCATAATGTTAGAAGGACCTTGAACATCAACAGCAGAGTGAAACGTATTGCACATACCTCAGTGAAACCACAGGGAAAAAAATTCTAAAATGTGTCTACAAGAGAGGGTTGATGCATGGAAACAGATTGATGGCACTCAATTTTATAATTTAAAATGTCTAGGGGCGCCTGGGTGGCGCAGTCGGTTAAGCGTCCGACTTCAGCCAGGTCACGATCTCGCGGTCCGTGAGTTCCAGCCCCGCGTCAGGCTCTGGGCTGATGGCTCAGAGCCTGGAGCCTGTTTCCGATTCTGTGTCTCCCTCTCTCTCTGCCCCTCCCCCGTTCATGCTCTGTGTCTCTCTGTCCCAAAAATAAATAATAAAAAAACGTTGAAAAAAAAAATTTTTTTTTAAAAAAATGTCTAAAATTTAAGGTGTATTGTTCTAATGGTATATTATAGTGAAAGCGAAACATACGGGCTTTTAACCCCGTGACATAGGGTCTTTTATGGCACTGGTTTTCCAGTTAGGAAACCGAAGCACAAAGAACTTTAGTGAGATGTTCCAGGTCACACTGCTAAATAAGTCTTAGAGTGGATTTGAATCCAGGCCACCTGACTCCATGTAACCTGTGCTTGGAAGCTCAGTTCCTAATGATTAATCTCACTTAGAGTTAAATAAACCATAAATTCTCCACACCCATCTAGTTACCCTTTCTAGTGGTATTTGTTCTAAAGTATATGAGACAAGGTAAAGAAAAAATAGAAGCCCAGGAAAATTAAAATATTTCTAAATTAATGCTGCATCCAAGATGAGATTGTAATGGCAATTAAAAAATATTAAACGGTAGGGGCACCTGGGTGGCTCAGTCGGTTGAGCATCCGACTTCGGCTCAGGTCATAATCTTGCAGCTCTTGAGTCCAAGCCCCACATCGGGCTCTGTGCTGACAGCTCAGAACCTGCATTCTGCTTCAGATTCTGTCTTCCTCTCTCTTTGCCTCTCCCTACTCATGCTCTGTCTCTGTCTCTGTCTCTCTCTCTCTCTGTCAAAATAAATAAACATTAAATAAAAAATTTTTTAAAAATATTAAACGGTAAATGTGATTACATACATACATACGTAAACAAGCTGTGAATGTGAGTAAAAATACTACTTCTCATGTTTGTAGAATGAGGCCAAAATCATGCTTTACAAGAAAGATGTTTACCTTTAAAAGAATCTCTGAGGGGCACCTGGGTGGCTCAGTCGGTTGGGCGTCCGACTTCGGCTCAGGTCATGATCTCGCGGTCTGTGAGTTTGAGCCCCGCATCGGGCTCTGGGCTGACAGCTCAGAGCCTGGAGCCTGTTTCGGATTCTGTGTCTCCCTCTCTCTCTGACCCTCCCCTGCTCATGCTGTGTCTCTCTCTGTCTCAAAAATAAATAAATGTTAAAAAAAAAATTTTTTTTTTTTAAATAAAAGAATCTCTGATAGGGGCGCCTGGGTTGCTCAGTTGGTTAAACGATTGACTTCTGCTCAGGTCATGATCTCATGGTTTGTGAGTTCAAGCCCCGCGTCAGGCTCTGTGATGACAGCTCAGATCCTGGAGCGTGCTTCAGATTCTGTGTCTCCCCCTCTCTCTGCCCATCCCCTGTTCATGCTGTCTCTATCAAAAATAAATACATATTTTAAAAATAAAAGAATCTCCAATAGAAGAATCAACTGTAAATTAAAGACAAAGTTTTTTCATTTTTTTAAATTCAAGGGAAAAAGGAAATTTGGAAAAATAAAAAAGGAAATAGGTGCAGGTGAATTGACAGATAAATTGAATAGACAAAATAGAAACCGTAGCACATACCACATAAATAAAATCTAGGTAGAAATGATCTCTTGCATGATTATCGCATGTAGAAATTTTTGGAGTTAGAAGTAGAGAGGTTTATAAAATGCCTGTGATAGTTACATGGAGAGGCTAATGGTAGAAAAGAGACTTGAGGTATCCATACATACATACACACATACACATCTCTTTCTATAAATGGCTAGAAATGGTGGCTTAAATTGGTAGGTTTTTAGTTGTAGGTGAACAAAATTTTCACAAAATAAATCATACTGGAAATTAAATAATATTATTAATATTTAGAAGATAAAAATGATAAAAATGTCCCCAAAGAGTTCAGAATAGAACTATTCTTAACTACGGAGAAATATATGGGTATGCTTTGTTTCTTTCATGTAGGTGTATAAAGAGATAAGTGATTGGAGTTTTGTACCTACATGAGTGAATTTTATATATGTACAGATTTAAACTACAGCGTATACGCTTTCAAAAGTTCGCACATGATTATTAGTCCCATGACCCCGTTTTTCCCAACAGCATATATTTGATTCTGGGGACTTTCAGGATCATGACAAAACCCTTAGCATTGAGGAACTAACTATACAACATTACTGAATCTCGTATCTTAGAGCTGGAAGAGAGTGTGCACACAAGCAAAGGTACTGTGTAAAGTTATAGAAAACATGCTTAGTCATTAAGCTGAAGTCCTCAGGTTTGGGAATAGCCCTGGTACAGGTGGCAGCGTCCCCTGGTGGTGAATGTCTGTAGTTCATATTGCTCCATTTTCTTCTCAGGGTTCTGATGCTCCGGAGTCTGGTCCAAGCCCCTGGCTGGCTAATCCTTCCATTCGGAGGACGTTCTTCCCAGATCCCCAAACGTATGTAGCTACCAGAACGGAGGTCCTTGTCTACTTCTCAGTTCTTTCTCCCAAAAAGAGAAAGGCTACCAAGTCACTCACAGGCACACAAGCCCTGCCTGGTTTCCCCCCACTTAATCACAACCTCGGGACCTAACCCTATCTGTATATCAAACTGGCTTTCTTGGTTAGAGGTCACTGACTTAGGTAAGAGGAATGGAGTCTCTTTTCTGAGTGAAACCGAGTGCTCTCTGTTTCCCTGCAGGAGCACCAAGGAAATTTCAGAGCTTAGGAATATCCTAAAGCAGCTGCAGCCAGGGGCTTTGGGACGTTCAGCCTGCATGGTACTTTCAGCTGCCCGCAGGGTGCCCCCCGTGAGTATGGCAAGCACAAAAAACATCCAGGCAGAACCAGGTCCCAGTCATCCAGTCAGCACAGGTGAGTCCCCATGACCTACCTTTGGCTCCTTGCTCTCCCTGGCACCATCCTTCCTCCCTGAATCCACTGCTGCTATAGAAGGGTGGCTTACAAATGGGACTTCCTGTGGGAGAAAAGACCATTGTCAGTGTCTTGTTACCAGAGGAGAAATCAAATACTATATAGTAATTGAAATCAGGAATCCTTATTTCTTCGGGCCTCAATTCCCCCATATTCACAATGAAGGAATTAAACCAAATAGTATTTCGGCCTTTTGCAGTATTAATGTTTTGTGATCACTTCAGAAAGACAGTTAAGTCAGGGTGATGGTGTATGGAGCTTGTTGGGGAAATAAAGTAGGGGAATAGCATGGTTTTATCACAGAGGAAGAAAAGATTCAGCATTTTGGAGCTCCTACTTAGCTCTAGACATCGCTAACACACTTCTACTAACTTAACTATTTAATGTTCATAACAAATTGTGAAGTAAATACTGTTATACTCATTTTACAAAAGAATCTGAGGTATTTCTGAATCACACAGCTAATAAGTGGCAAAACCAGGATTTGAACCCCAGAGTTCTTGTTCTTTTTACTGTTCTAGATAGCAAAAGAGAAAACAAGTAGAGTTCTCACTGAAAACCTTTGGTTTCAGTCATTGCTTCACTGGGAAAATTTTTAAAAAGGAAACAGGTGATTTGTCATTTCAAAGAACTGACCAAAATTACTGAAATAGTAAGGATATTATCTCATGGCAGAAATAGGGTACATTGTTTGTCTACTGTTGCACGATGAATTACCCCAAAACTTGGTAGCTTATGATAGTATTTATCATTTTCAGTTACTCATGGTTAAGAATCCGGGCATGACTTAACAGCATCTTCCAGCTCCAGATCTGACACAAAGCTATAGTCCTTTCAAGGCTCCACTGGAAATGATCTGCTCCCGAACTCAGTCACATGGTTGTTAGTAGGATTTAGTTCCTCGTGGGTGGTGGTGGGACTAAGGCTTCCCTCAATTCCTTTGCCATGAGAGCCTCTCCCAGGAGCATCTCACAATGTGGAAGCTTGCTTCATCAGAGTGAACAAGCTAGAGGGCAAGAGAGAGCATGCTAGTAAGAAAGAAGTCAGTCCAGGGTGCCTGGCTGGCTCAGAAGAGCATGTGACTCTTGATCTTGGGGTCGAGAGTTCAAGCCCTATGTTGGGTATAGAGATTACTAAAAATAAATAAACTAACTAAAAAAAGAAAAAAGAAACAAGTCGGTCTTTTATAACCTGATCCCAGGAGTGGCATCCCATCACTTTTGCCATATTTTATTCATTAGAAGCAAATTACTAGGTTCTGCCTAAATTCAAGGGGAGGCATGACTACCAGGAGGCAGGAATCAATAGGAGTCCTTTCAGAAGCTGTCTACCACATAAGGAAGGATGTAGTTTATTATTTTAAGAGACAGAAAATGGGAAGGAGCTAACCTTTTGGGTGCACCCAGTCAGCTGGACACTGGAGCTATGAAAGTACCTACAAACTTTCTATATAACTCCTATATATAACTCCTAACCCCTATATAAAGTGTTTCATAAGTTCTGAATAGCTAGACAAATGGTTGTTGCTGGATTTTGTTGCCACTCATTTGACAGATATCTGAACATCTCTCTTCAAGGCTCCATGCTAGGTGTCAGGGATTCCACAGCACAGAAAATAGCAGTTCTCCTACCCTAATGGAGAGGCATCTCCATGTAATATAAGTAAGTCTACAACTGCAAACTGTGATGAGTACTTCAAAGGCAAAGCATAATAGGATGATCGGATTTAGATTAGAGAATTCAGGGAAAGTGCCTCACAGGAATTAATATTTCATGTGAGACTTGAAGAGTGAGAAAGAATTAACCAGGAAAAATGGATAGAAAGACTATTCTTAAAAGAAAGAACATCATGGGGCGCCTGGGTGGCTCACTGCATTAAGCATCCAATTCTTGGTCAGCTCAGGTCATGATCTCACGGTTCATGGGTTCCAGCCCTGAGTCTGACTTCTTGCTGACAGTGCGAGGCCTCCTTGGGATTCTCTCTCTCTCTCCCTCTCTCTCTATCCCTCCTGTATGCATGTGTGCTCTTTCTCAAAAATAAATAAATGTTAAAAAAGGAAAAAGGGGCACCTGGGTGGCTCATTCAGTTGAGCATCTGTGAGTTTGAGCCCCGTGTCTGGCTCTGTGCTGACAGCTCAGAGCCTGGACCCTGCTTCAGATTCTGTATCTCCCTCTCTCTCTGCCCCTCCCCCTCTGTCTCTCTCTTTTTCTCTCTCTTTCTCTCTCTCTCTCAAAAATAAACATTTAAAAGCAACAAAAAAAGAAAAAAGAAGGAACATCATATGTGAAGGGCTTTTTGTTAATGAGCTAGATTTAATGAGTATTTCTAACACAGAGCTGAGACCAGAAGAGCAAAACTCAGAGAATAATGTGGGCAGGACGAAGAGACGGAAAGTGCAAGCTCACAGGTGAGTAGATCAACCTGAAAGAGCCAAATCACCTCCCCAAACCTTATTGTCCACCTACACCTGTCCTTCCCCCACTTGTGTCTTAGTTAGATCACCGAGTACCATTGTGTCTTGATCTCATGGTCTAGACCCAGAGGGTAGTAGAGAAAAGATGTCCTTGTCCACATGTTGTCAACTAAGCAAGGAGGTAGCTCTGTAGTAAATCAGAATCTGAAGATGGGTACTCTGTATCTCATGGACTTCATTAAAATTGAAATCTTTTTCTGCTTTAAAGAACACTACCAAGAAAATAAAAAGACAAGTGACAGAATATGTGAGAAGATATTTGCATATCATATATCCAATAAGGGACTTGTTTCTAGAATAATAGAGAAAGCTTACAGCTCAACAATAAAAAATAACCTAATTTTTTAATGGACAAAAGATCTGAATAAACTTTCCTCCAAAGAAGGTAAACAAATGGCCAATAAGCACATGAAAAAATGCTTAATATCTTTAGCCATTAGAGAAGAGCAAATCAAAACCACAGTGATCACACCCACTAGGATAGCTGTAATCAAAACGACAATAGCAGGGGTGCCTGGCTGGCTCAGTCGGTGGAGCGTGCAACTCTTGGTCTCAAGGCTTTGAGTTCAAGCCCTACACTGGGTGTAGAATTTACTTTAAAAATTCATTACAAAAAAGAAGAAGAAGAAGAAGACAATAACATGTTGGCAAAGATGTGGAGAAACTGGAACTTTCATACATTGCTGGTGAAAATGTAAAATGGTGCAGCCACCTTCATAAACAATTCTTCAAAAACCTGAATATAGAGTTACCATAGGACCCGACAATTCCGCTCCTAGGAATAGACCCCAAAGAACTGGTAGCAGGTGTCCACACAAAAACGTATAGTCAAATGTTCACAGCGGCATTATTCATAATAGCCAAAAAGTGGAAACAACCCAAATGTCCATCAACTGATGAATAGATAAGCCAAATGTGGTGTATTTATACAATAGAATATTGTTCAACCATTAAAAAAGAATGAAGTACCAACACACAATATGGATAAACCTTAAAACATGCTAAGTAGTCAGAAAAGACCACACATTATATGATTGCATTTACGTGAAATGTCCAGAATAGACAAATCCATACAGATAGAAAGTAGATGAGTGGTTGCCAGGGTCCTGGTGAGGGTGGGTGTGGGAGTGACTACTAATGGGTTTAGGGGTTCTTTTGGGGGTGATAAAAATGTTCTGGAATCCAATAGTCGTGGTGGTGACACAACCCTGTGAATATCCTAAAAATGTTGAATAGTATAATAGGATGAATTTTATGGGCTGTGCATTATATCTGAATAAGAAAAAATAATTTTAAAAACCTGAGAGAAATAACAGAACTTCTGTTCTCAGATGGTCAAGGTTAAGTGACCTCCCTCAAGTTGGGTACATCAAGTGGGAAAACCAGGACTCCAACCAGGGCTTTTGGCTCCACATCAATGAATCCACACTCTTCTGTCCTAACTGGAGGCTCCTTTAGCCTTTGTGGCCTATTATTAATAGCTGGTCTTTATTCTCTGTCACAGGCCTTTATCCAGCTCGAACTCTCGGCCAAACCGGAGGGGGATAGCAAAGGCAGGGCAGAGAGAACACCAGCGACTCCAGGCCCAAAGCAGTGGGGTCCAGGATAGTGCGCTGTGCCCCATCTGCTCAGGTGAGCTGCTGGGGCATAGGGGTTATTGTGGGACTGCTAGGTATCCCTTGAGGCAGGACTAGGAGACCTGGGAATGCTGCCAGGGAACATTCGAGCTGGGACTCCTGCTCTTCTCCACACACATACAAGTCTATATTGAGGACATGCTCACATTGTGTTGGCCCAGCTGAGGCAGGGACACAGGCCCTGTCCCCAGGAGAAACATGAAACAAAACAATATAAAATACTAGCAGAGGGGCGCCTGGGTGGCACAGTCGGTTAAGCGTCCGACTTCAGCCAGGTCACGATCTCACGGTCCGTGAGTTCGAGCCCCGCGTCAGGCTCTGGGCTGATGGCTCGGAGCCTGGAGCCTGTTTCCGATTCTGTGTCTCCCTCTCTCTCTGCCCCTCCCCCGTTCATGCTCTGTCTCTGTCTGTCCCATAAATAAAAATAAAAACGTTGAAAAAAAAAATTAAAAAAAAAATAAAATAAAATACTAGCAGAGAGGGCCTAGCATTTCCTTCACAGCTTTTTTTCTCCATGTCCCAGTTTTCTAAGTCCCTGTTCAAATGGTACTTATTTGCCAAGTCTTGTCTCATCTTAGATAATCTGTCCCAACCTGCAACCCTGCAGCATTCTCTGATTCCCCAGCGCTTAGCACTTCTCCCTTCTGCTTTGTGTCACAGTTGCTTGTGGCCTTAGCTTATCTTTACCCTTGACCTCTACAGTCCAGAAGGACAGGCCTGGGTTTACACCCCTCAGCTCCTGGCACAGTGTAAGGCATACAGTAAACCCTTGATAAATGTTTGGTGGATTCATGAGCGGATAATGTCAGGAGCAGACTATCCAGCCAGAGTAAACTTCCTGCAAAAACAGCCCGCACTGGGAGCAGGCCCAGCTTTGCTAACCTCCTTCTCTCCCCCTTAGGCTCCTTCAGCATCAAGGTTCTTCCCTGGCATGCTGCGACTTGTGGAGAGACCTCCCCACCTCACCCAGCCTCTCCCTCCTCATCACCATCTTCATCGCAGTCTGTACTGTGGGTGTCCTCCCCGGACAGCTCACCACCCACTTCCTGGGTCCAGTGCCCTTTATGCCAGTTGGACTTCTCAGCAGGAGAAATAGAAGAACATGCCAGCATGTGTGGGGAGTTCCCTCAGGCATGAGCCATGAGGTCCTGTGGTTTTGGCCCCCCTTTCCTCAGTGACTACAACTGGGGAGTGGATCTCTTGACCGAGGAGAAGAGCTAATAAGGCCAGGCTGCCCTCTCTCCTTCTCTCCACTCATTCCCCCAGGACTCTGCCTCAGGGTACCTCTGGGCCCAGCCTGCTCTCCACTCCCAGTTGTCAAGGCTTCTGTCACCATGGCACCCTGTTCTCCCAAAGACAGTTCCATCCTTTTCCCCTTTGGAACTTCTGGGATAGAATTGATGATCTCTCTGGGGCTTTGGGGCATAATCCAGAACATCTTCCTCTCAGTGAGTGATGAGCATCCTCATGCCCATTTTCCTGAAAGGAAAACTGGACCCAGTGAAAACAGATGGGACCCTGTGGTATACTGGGAAGTTGAGTGCTTTTTGAGCTTAACTCCCAGTATCCTTGGTGGGTTCCCTCCCTACATACAATCAAGTAACAGTGTTGCTGTATGACCTTAAGCAACTTGAGTTCTTCATCTTGGACTCAATTAAGCATCCTGCTTGCAGAGCAATTCCAGAGATCAGATGGGTTAATGACTAAGGAATAGTTCTAGGCTTGGCTATGGAACCTTGGACAAAACCCAGTCCCCACCTGTACAATGAGGCAGTTGGACCAGAGGGTCTCTAAGGTCCCCTCCACCTATAACATTCTAAATTCTATTCCCACACCTTCCTTGAGCAACTGTGCCCTCTCCCCTTTCCCAGAAGTTTTCACTGTGTGGTATTCATCAGTTCCTCTGGTCTCCAGGGTACAGGGCAAAGGGGGAGCAGCTGGTCCTGGCAAAGGGAGGGCCAAGGGCGGGGTTTTGAACTCAAGTGTAGGAAAGAGGAAGCTGGGCACAGTCAGGGGAGTAGCCAGAGCAGTTCAGTCCTTCGGTCCCTGCCAGCCTAGGTGGGTGCAGCCATGGACCTCCTCACGGTAAGAGGCCTGTTCTCCTACCATCCCTCATCCTGGTCCCATTTCTGACCATGATTAAAACAGTAGATTGAGCCACAGGGACAGTAAGGATATCCTAGCTGCCATGGAGGTGATGAACATTGCCATGTTGGTGGAGGAGAGCCCTTGGGAGTCCCGAGCCTGGGCCCAGAGAGGAGCCCTGGGGGTGGGCTAGGCCTGATACAAGAGAAGGACAAGACAGCACTGAGGGAGAAATGCTACCGAAAGCAGGATTGGGCAACGCCAAGGTAGGTTGGTGGGGAAGGAGCATTGGGATGTTCTAGGAGGCCAGGACAGAGCTGAGGGGCTTGGAGAAAGCCCAGTTCAAAGACCCTCCTGTGTGGACATGTCTGGACCTGTCCTTCGGAGGCTCTGGGACTCTCAGAGGGATGAGCAGCTGGAAGATGAAGTCAACAAGATGGGAGCTGGGTCCTGGGCAGATCCTGTGGTAGATTCTGAGCATGGCCCCGTCCACCTGCTTTAACCTACCCTTTTTCAGGGTGCCCATGCTAGCCCAATGTGTGCAGGTTCCTGTGAGGGTAGAAGTTGTGCTGGGGAAGGGATCCCCAGCCAGACCCAGGCCTGGCACTGCCTTTAAGGATCTACACAATAAAGTGGTGACTAAGAAAATGTTGGTAATCTTCAGTGCTGCTGGCCTTTAAGATGGAGGCAGGTAGCCGTAAACTAAGGAATGAAGGGAACATAGCTCTAGAAGCTGGAATGGGATTTTCCCTTAGAGCCACCCTCTCCTGCCAATACCTGGACCTTTTAGCCCAATGATACCAATTTCTGAATTCTGACCTCTAGAACTGTAAGAATAAATTTGTATAGTTTTAAGCTAATGTTTTTTAAAAAGAGAAAGATGCTTTTTTCAAGCAAGACCAATTTTCTTAATATCAGTATTTCAGTAAATGAGATTATTTACTAAAAGCTTACAAAATCTATACAAGAAACTACTATGGTATGAAAGGGTATTTCCAAAATGATTGATTCCCAAAAAAACATGGCAATGAAATTTATCCCTTACACAGACATAATTTTGGGGGGACATTCATGTCATTATAAAGATGATTACATTGGATAAAACATATATACTAAAGTGTAGGATGTACATTTGATATAGAGTTTAATTTCAGATAAAGGTGGTAGCATTGTTAATTTCCTTCTTAAAAGAAGAAAATGGAATCATTTGTATTATTACATCCCCATTTTCGATGTTCAAATAAGTAAAGATTCCAGAAATCCAAAACTAGTAACAATAATTCCTATTTGAGTTGAGAAGTATCATAAAAGTAGTTAAGAACACTAACTCCTAAGCCAGACTACCTGGGTCCGTATCTCATCAAAGTGGCTTAGCATGTCTGTATGTCAGTTTCCTCTCCTGTTGAAGGGGGTGTGATCACTCCTACCTTACAGGGTTATTGTAAGGATAGTTACTGTACTTGTGAAGTGCTCAGATAATGAGCATATATAGGCACTACACTAAATGTCCTTTGAAAGCAACACTGTTAGTATGTGTTTGGGCTAAAGCAAAATAGAACAGTGGCTGGGTTGAGGGCTTAGAGATGGAAGGGTGAGGGAGGCCTCAGAGCAAAGGGGGTTGGAGACTGGGGATCCCACCCTCTCCATCCTTTATCCAGCCACAGCCCAACTGGACGGAGATTGTCAACAAAAAGCTAAAGTTCCCACCTCCGCTCCTGACTGCCATCCAGGAGGGCCGCCTGGGCCTAGTGCAGCACCTGCTGGAGTCCGGGGTGGAGGCTTCAGGCAGCGGGCCAGGCGGGCCCCTGAGGAACGTGGAGGAGGCCGAGGACCGCTCCTGGAGGGAAGCTCTCAATCTGGCCATCCGGCTGGGCCACGAGGCCATCACCGATGTGCTGTTGGCCAATGTCAAGTTTGACTTCCGGCAGATCCATGAGGCACTGCTAGTGGCAGTGGACACAAACCAGCCAGCAGCGGTGCGTCGCCTGCTGGCCCGGCTGGAACGGGAGAAGGGCCGCAAAGTGGACACTAGGTCTTTCTCGCTGGCTTTCTTTGACTCCTCAATTGATGGCTCACGCTTTGCCCCTGGTGTCACTCCACTCACCCTGGCCTGCCAGAAGGATCTGTATGAGATCGCACAGTTGCTCATGGACCAGGGCCACACCATTGCCCGGCCCCACCCGGTCTCCTGTGCCTGCCTCGAGTGCAGCAATGCCCGCCGCTACGACCTGCTGAAGTTCTCCCTGTCCCGCATCAACACCTACCGCGGCATTGCCAGCAGGGCCCACCTCTCACTGGCCAGTGAGGATGCCATGCTGGCTGCCTTCCAGCTCAGCCGGGAGCTCAGGCGCCTTGCATGCAAGGAACCTGAGTTTAAGGTTGGTTTCTCATACTTTCTCCTGCCCTTGGCCCCCTGCATCTGTCCTTCCACATGGTCAGGGGTAGGCTCGTGGTGGGTGTTCCAGGAAGTGGAAAACAACAGAAAGATAATGAGACCTAGTTCTGTTCTCAGTAAATCTCCATTTATATGGGAAGAGAGCCATCACTCTAGGGCGACCTAGATTTATGGGGCAGCACAAACCCCACCCTAGGGATGCCCTGGGTCTGTCTGAGGAAGGAGGGAGAGCACAGATAGGAAAGCAGCTAGACAGACTTAGAGATGACATTCAGTGGGACCCGTCCCTTCTTTTAAAAATTTTTTTTAATGTTTATTTTTGAGACAGAGCATGAGTGGGGGAGGGGCAGAGAGAGAGAGAGACAGAATCTGAAGCAGGCTCCAGGCTCTGAGCTGTCAGCACACAGTGCAACGCTGGACTCGAACTCATAAACTGAGAGACCATGACCTGAGCCAAAGTCAGATGCTTAACTGACTGAGTCACCCAGGCGCCCCTGGGACCCATCCTTTCTGAAAACCTACTGTGCGGCCCCATATTGAGCATTGTGAGTTGGAGCCTCGAGCTTGTGATCGGCAAGAGTGAGGTGGACAAGCCACTCCTAGGATGCTCAGCTTCATTGGAGTGCCTCTGTGGAGGGTGCTCCATGGTTTCCAAAACCTAGAAAAGGGAGGTCAGGAAGCTACAGCTGTTGTGTTCCATGCAGACTCCTTCAAAGAAGCAAAATTAATCTTGGCTGCAAAGCCAGGAGGTTTAATAACAAGTGAGGAGGAGGAGGAGTAGGGAGGATATTTGCAGTAGGGGGTGCAATCCAAGCAAGGCTGTTGGGTAGGAAAAGTACACATGGTGATGAGTACAAGGGGCTGCTCGGGACAGAGAAGGAGTGAAGGGGAGCGGGGGAGGCCTGGAAGCGGGGACTGGTCAGGAGCCTTAAATACCACCAGCCCAGTCCTGTCCCTCACTCATCCACCAGCACCCCCTCTGTGCCAGGCACACTTGGTCCCCAGGCTCGAGATTACCATTAGGTGGGGAAACAGTTCTGAGGCAGGATGTGGCCCATGCCAGGTGCACTGGGGAAACAGCATGCTGTTTCACCAGAGTTATGGAGGGATCAGAGCCCCCACCTCACAGATAGCAGGAAAGAGCAGTTCCTCTGAAGGACTTTCCCTCCGTGCTCACAGTGGCCCACTGAGGGAGGCAGCACCGATTGTCATCCCCACCCTCCAAGCCAGGGAGCTAAGGCCTGCATAGGGGAAGCACCTGGCCCAATGTAATACCACCTGAGGGACAGTGCTGGGTGCAGGTCTAGCCTCCCCAAATTCTTGCCTGCATTCTCTCTGGGATCGGGGCCCTGAGTAAAAGTGAGAATAGATTGGGTAAAGTGGAGCGAGAACTGCCTTACTCATGTCTGCTTCTAACATTGCTGGCACAGATTCTCATGTAAGGTAGGTGCTCAAAAAATGAAATGAACACAAGAAAGGCATAAAGAAGAGGATGAGAAGTGGAACAGGAAACAGGGACCAGGAAAGGAGGTACAAGGGACTGGCAAAGGTGGTAGAGGGGATTGGGTTGCAGTGACTTAGTGATGAGGTCGATGGAGCACCAGAGAAGCAAAGTTGACACAAGAGGCCCCTAATTATAACAAGGAGGAGAGCTGAGGTGGCAGAGAAGGAACGGAGGACTCAGGGTGACATCATATGTGGGGAGGTGATGGCCTGAGGCAGCACAGAGGTAGCCAGGCCCACTGTTGGGAGGGTGGAGCTGACTTACCAGAGCTATGTCCGCAGGGCGGTGGGCATACACAGATCTGCTTCCCTGCAGCCTGAGTACATTGCCCTGGAGTCGCTGAGCCAGGACTATGGCTTTGAATTGCTGGGCATGTGCCGGAACCAGAGTGAGGTCACCGCAGTACTCAATGACCTGGGCCAAGACAACGAGACTGAACCCGAGGCTGAGGGCCTGGGCCAGGCCTTTGAGGAAGGCATCCCCAACCTGGCGAGGCTGAGACTGGCCGTCAACTACAACCAGAAGCGGGTCAGCTGGGCCCTACCTACCTCCCCCACCCCTGCCCTAATCCCTGCCTTGCCATGGCTAGGTATTCCCTAGTCCAGCCTAAATAAGTCCTCCCCCTGCCCTCTGAGACCTGATCCTGAGCACCCTTCTAGCTAGGCCCTGGTCCTGTGGGCCTCCCCAACCCCCTTCTTACCTTCAGTCTAAGCCCCTAACCTCTCCCCAGGCCTTGGAAGTCCCATTACCCACCAGGACTCTACCTTCAGACCAGACATCTGGGTTTTATTCAGCTCTGCCTCTAGCCTATTGAGTTAGTTTGGTCCAGTCTTCTTCTGTTGTTAAACTTCGGTATCTCTCTGTATTCAACAAGAGTAGACTAGATCTCTCAGGGTTTACATACCAAGTGATTCCATTATTCCTTACCTTATTAGATGCCTGCCCCCATAAGCTGAAGACATGCTTCCTTTCTAGCCTCTCCCACCCCTTACTCCTCCATCTCACCCATCTTCAGATATCCTATCTCACCAGTAGCTTAACCAAAAACTTTCCTTCATAATGGCTCCCCTGGCCCTGCCTCCCAAAACATCAAATCCTACTCTCCCTGTTCCTCCCCTCAAGACTGGTGCCCCACATCTCTAAGAAGGCAGAAAACCCTGTGGGTTCTGGGACTCTGGTACCTAGTTCCACCCACCACTACCTGGCTTAGACTCAAGAAAGAAAGAGGAATCCAGAGAGTCCAGAAAAATCTTTTGAGTTAAGCTTCTCCCTCACAGACTAGGAAACCAAGGCCTAAGGGTGGGGTCTGCCCAAGGTCACATGGCAAATGAGTTGCCTCTCTTCTGAGCTGGCTGGCCTGAGAAGAAATATGGTTCGTCTCTGGGGCAGGGAAGGCAGGACTGTGCACACAATTGGCTCCCCCTCCCTTCCCTGCCTGGTAACCACCCACGCTGCTCACGCGCCATCTCTGCTTAGTTTGTAGCACACCCCATCTGCCAGCAAGTCCTGTCTTCCATCTGGTGTGGGAACCTGGCTGGCTGGCGTGGAAGCACCACCATCTGGAAGCTCTTTGTCGCCTTCCTCATCTTCCTCACCATGCCCTTCCTCTGCCTCGGCTACTGGCTGGCACCCAAGTCCCGGGTACTAAGAAAAAAGTTAATGATAACTGTCACTTATTGTGCACTTTGCTAATGTTCCCATGAAGTCACTTGAAGTGGCCCTGGAAAGTAGGTATTACACTTTCATTTTATAGAGGAGGCATGGGGAACAGAAGTGCTCTTTTTGTCCAGGGGACGCAGTAAATAGCCCAGTCCCGATTTAAACTGAGGTCTCTCTGCCTCCAAAGCCTGAATCTTTTGTACGACCCAAAATCTCCTAAAGAGACCCCCGCCCCAACCTACAAATTATTTGAGAGCCTGTATGGACCTAGCTATCTTTATTCCTTCATTTCAACAAGCATTTCCTTGAAACCCTGCTGTGAGCTGGGTGTTATGCCTGATCGGGGGATATAATGTTAACCAGGTGAGAAACAGGGAGAGTGGTGTCCCAGGGAGCAGAAGCAGCTTGTCTGCAGGCCCAGGGGAGGGAGAACATAAAGTATCAGTGAGACAGAAAGAATTTCTGGTTGCTGAAGCATACGTACAAATAGTGAGTGATGGGGAGCAGGCAGGGGCCAGATCTAGCAGTGCTTTATAAGCAGTGATAGAAGCCATTATAGGATTTTAATGGAGTGAGTGATCCCTTTAGTTATGTGCTTTAGAAAGTTCTCTCTACTAGAGGCATGAGGATGGGTTGGGGAGAGGGTAGGAGTTAGGGAGATGGTCGTTGTCTGAGATGGGGACACAGGAGGAGGAAGAGAAGGAACCAGTTTAGGATGGAAGATGATGAATTTATTTTTTAATTTGGTTGAGACTGAAGAGCCTGTGGGACCTCCAAGGATAAGTTGTTTTACTCTGTGATCCTCAATTCCTTAGCTGAAACACATGGGAATAGTACTACTCACCTCACACAGCTGTGAAGGAAATAGATGTGAAATAGAGCACATTCTCAATAAATGTCTGGATAAGTGTGCAAGTCAAAGGAGGGGTCTGGAAGCTCTCCAAGGAAGGGGTGGTGTAACAGGCCTCTGAGAGCCATGCATTCCTCCCTCTCCCTGCAAGCTGGGCCGTCTGCTGAAGATCCCAGTGCTGAAGTTCTTGCTGCACTCCGCCTCCTATCTGTGGTTCCTCATCTTCCTGCTGGGTGAGTCCCTGGCCATGGAGACACAGCTGAGCACCTTCCGCGGCCGCAGCCAGAGCGTCTGGGAGACTTCCCTACACATGGTTTGGGTCACAGGTACGTGTGTGGGGCCCTTTATTTGTAGTGGTCCCCCTTGTGGGCTCCCTCACTGTTCTTCAAAGTAAGTACTCCAGTAGAGGCGGGGGTGTAGATGCCCTCTGCCTGTAGATGCCCGCAAACATAGAACCAAACCCCTCTAGGCTCCCGCACTCCAAGGGACCATTTCTATTCACCCCTAGTTAGAGGATCTAGCCCTGTGATAAGACTCCCTGAGCAGGGGCCCCATTCTTACCCCACTCCAGAGGTTCCTATCCTTTCACAAATAAGACACCGGTCCATAGCTTCAGGTGGGAAATGACCCTGGCGTAATGGTAACCTGCCAGGACACCAGGCAGTCTATCCCGAAAGTCATGGAACAGAAAGGCTCACAGACCAAACTGAGATGCTTCAATCATACAGTTTACTAAATACATAAATGGTGGTGCTGTTATGAGAACCAGAGTTGAAGTTTAAGCAGGGGCTGCGAGAGCCAGAAGTTGCCTCGCCCCAACACTTGGTCTATAGAAGAGACATGACAGCAAGTATGTCTGGCTACAGCTGAAGCTTGCTAATCATCCTGATAAGCAGCTAGGAATTTCCTTCACAATTCTTTTTTTTTTTTAATGTTTACTTATTTTATTATTTATTTTTTTAATGTTTATTTATTTTTGAGAGACAGAGAGGGAGAGAGCGCCAGTGGGGGAAGGGCAGAGAGGGAGAGGGAGACAGAGAATCGGAAGCAGACTCCAGTCTCTGAGCTGTCAGCACAGAGCCCAATGCAGGGCTCAAATTCACGAACTGTAAGATCATGACCTGATCCGAAGTCTAATGCTTAACTGACTGAGCCACCCAGGTGCCCCAATTTATTTATTTTTGAGAGAGAGCACTCAAGCAGCAAAGGGGCAGAGAGAGAGGGAGACACAGAATCTGAAGCAGGATCCAGGCTCTGAGCTATCAGCACAGAACCCAACATGGGGCTTGAACTCACAAGCCATGAGATCATGACCTGAACTGAAGTCTAACGCTTAACCAACTGAACCACCCAGGCACCCCAAGGAATTTTTGTGCAAAAGACACATAGGGCCAGAAAGGGTATCAACAGTGGGTAGCTGACTTAAGAGCTGATGAATCCTGAGGGCTTCAGCTGCCTCATGTATATTCAGTATATTATGAATACTTAATCCCTTTCTATGTATTCACACACAAATGCTCCACTCGTTTTATTTGTTCAACATGCCACCCAAATAACTAACTTATCTATGCTCAACATGTAAGTTTCATGCATTCCATTGGTTTTCTTCTATAGCAGAAATCAAGTGTTCTTGAACAATTCAGCAAAGGCAATTACAAGAACCCCCCAGAGCTCTATCTAGCCTCTGGCTGGGCAGCTCAGCGGGTTGGGCCATAGGCCCCCTTCCTCAGCTGCCCTCCCCTCAGCCCTAGCTTAGTCAGCAAACTCCTAATAAATGCTTGTTGTTCACTGTGAGTGAAGCCCTGATAATGCACGGATAAATTAAATATGGTTCCATCCATCCATCCATGCAACAACATATAGGACTGAACATCCATCCCAGGTTCACAAGATAGTCTGCTGCTGTCAGAATTGATTCAGTTCCTGACCACACCATGTTCCCACTTGTCCCAGGCCTATGCTCATTCTCTTTCTCCAGTCCTGTCCCCTTCCCACATGACCCCATCACCTGGCTGGCTCCCCTTCTTCCTTCAAATCTCAGCTTAAATGTCACTTTCTTTGAGAAGCTTTCCCTGGACCCCAAATCAGGGTGAGGGTCCCTTCCTAAATACTCCCAAAACAACCTGTTTCCCTGCTCCTCAATCTTTGCATTCACCATACTGAATTGTAACCACTTGGCTACTTGCCCATCTCCCTCACTAGAATCCTGGAAGGCCGGGGACCATATTTGTGCCAGGGTCCCACTGGCATACGGTGGTAGCTTAATAAATGTTAGTTTAATAGTGACTACTTGGCCTTGTTCTGGGCACTGGGGACAAGGAGATGAATCAGACATGGTCCCTGCCCTTAAGGAGTTCAGAGTTTAGGGGCGGTGAGGGGAGACAGACCCAGGAAGAGATACTCCATAGGGCCCTGTGGTTGATGGCATCACAGAGATCTGAATGGAGCTGTGAGAGCAGAGTTCAGGGAGCAACTCACTGCACCTGCTCAGGGAAGGTTTTGCAGACAAGGCAGTATTTGACCTGGGCCATATAGGCGAGCCTGGCTTCAAATGGGTGTGGAAGGGCATTCTAGGCAGACAGAAAAAGCACACAACGTGTATCCAGGGAATGCAGAAGGGTACAATGCGGCAGGGTTACCTGGCTAATGGGGTCCAAGACCCAGCGCCCCCATCCCTAGGTCTGGCACTTTTCCCCACTGAGACATGGGCACTCAGAGCAGACAAATAGTTTGGAGCCCCTTCAAGTCAATATTCTAGAAATATTTGTCCAGCATTTATTCAGTGGAGGGCAGGGAGAAACAGATTTAAACCATTCCCTCCCAGTACCAACCTCTCCCAGGTGTTAGTTTATGCATATAAGCCAACTGGGATCATCGGTGCAGGCCCCACGGTAGAGGAGTCCACATCAGCTGGTAGTCTTTTTTATTTTCACAGATCACTTTGTAGTTACGTAGATTGCATGGTTATGTTTAATCACCTTCGTCCCTGTGATGTTTTAGCTCCCCCGCCCCACGGATAGGTGTCCCCACACCATAACCTAGCTCTGACCTGGAAGCAGGACAGTTCTGCCTCATCCTGTCCCTGCCTCCTACCTTCAGGCTTTCTGTGGTTTGAGTGCAAGGAAGTGTGGATTGAGGGCCTGCGCAGTTACCTCCTGGACTGGTGGAACTTCTTGGATGTGGTCATCCTGTCCCTGTACCTGGCGGCCTTTGCGCTGCGCCTCCTTCTGGCCGGGCTTGCCCACGTGCACTGCCGGGATGCCCCCAACGGGGCTGCCTGCCACTATTTCACCACGGCTGGTGAGTGCCCCCCAACTCAGTTGGGGTCCCCCAGGCCCTTCTCTCCTTTGGATGTCAGCCTCAGCCTCATTCCACCCTGCACAGAGCGAAGTGAGTGGCGCACTGAGGACCCCCAGTTCCTGGCGGAGGTGTTGTTTGCCATCACCAGCATGCTCAGTTTCACCCGCCTGGCCTACATCCTGCCGGCCCATGAGTCCCTGGGCACTCTGCAGATTTCTATTGGCAGGATGATTGACGACATGATCCGGTGAGTACTGTACCTGCTCAGAGCATCCTCCACTGTGATAGACTCCACTTGACCTCCTTGTAAAAGTCCTCACCTCTAGTTGGCACAGGGGTTCTTAACCTCGCTTCCTTGCAGAGGCTCCAGAGACCTCTGAGGTCCTGAAATTACAGACAAAACTAGGGATGTAGACGTAAATGCACATCTCTCTGCAGCAAGGGTCTATAACTTTCATCTAATTCTCAAAGAAGCCCATGACCCCTGAAAAGATTAGGAACCACTGAGAGCAGGACTAGCCCTTGGATGGGAGTTCCAGCCCCAGTTCTGTTGCTCCTCATGACCCTCTCAGGGCCTCAGTTTTCCCATCTTTGTGGTAAGGGCACTGGAGTCAGGGGTCCCTTTGGATAGTTCCCACTCTGCAACAGCTCTTTGAACTCGTGGCATTATCTGGTATTCTTGGTGCTTATCACCTAATAATTGGCAGCCAAACCTGGACTCTCCCGCTAAGCAGAGCCCATAGTTAGTGCCTGCTGCCCAGGGAATCCCCTGCCTGAAGCCCTGGTTACATCTACGAACATCTTCAGCTCAGCTCAGCTTGAGGAGAATCTCCCACCCCACCCCTGAGACTCTTCTACCCGCATGCCCCCCACCCAGCCCCTGTTGCAGGCTGACCCACTCTCACAGGTAGCTTTACCACTGCTGCTGATAAATCCTGTCCAGTAGGACTGTCTGCCTCACTCTTCCTTGAACCACCTCTTAGCATTTCAGTCCCTCCTTGGGAGACTGGCCCATCCCCAGCTTGGATCACTTCAACTAAGTATCCTTCATTCTCAAGGAAGAGCTCCTGCTTTGGCACCATTTTAAATGACTTCTCCTTTCCCATCTTTACTTTCTCTGTTCTTAATAATCACCAAATTTGAATGCTTGTCAAGAGATGCTGAGTCTGGGAGGCCATCGCCTGATCCCTCTTCCCAGAACCTGACTTCTCCCAACATAGAAACCTTCTCTGACCTTTCCCCATCCCACCCCCTGCCAGGTTTATGTTCATCCTCATGATCATCCTGACTGCCTTCCTCTGTGGCCTCAACAACATCTACGTGCCCTACCAGGAGACAGAGCGTCTGGGCAAGTATGCTGGGGTGGAGGCAGGGTGGGTAGGTGGGAGTCTGGGGCTGATCGGTCTGGAACTGAGTGATCACCACTGCCTTCCCTCTCCTTTCTCATCTCTTCATTCATAATTAATCTCTTGTTTGAGCAATAATTCACTCTCTCATTGATTCCTACTCATTCATTTGTTCATTAACTCATTTACTCATTCATTTTTTCCCCAAACTTTTTATTTTGAAAAATGTCAATCCTATGAAAAAGTTAAAAGCACAGTGGTTGCCCATATACCCTTCACCTAGCTTCATCAGTTGTTAATGTTTTACCACACTTTGCTCTATCTATTGCTCTTCTTATTTTATTTTCCTTGAAACATTTAAAAGTACGTTGCGAACATCATGACACTTTATCCCTAAATATTTCAGATTTCCTAAGAGCATAACTACAAAACGATTATCACACTAAAAAAATTTATTTCTTCTTCCTTTTCTTTTTTTTTAAATGTTTATTTAATTTTTGAGAGAGAGAGAGCATGCACAAGGGGCAAAGAGAGAGGGAGACAGAGAATCCAAAGCAGGCTCTAACCCATGAATCATGAGATCATGACCTGAGATGAAGTTGGATGCTTCTTCTTTTTTCTTAAGTAAGCTCTATGCCCAATGTGGGGCTCATGACTCCAAGATCAAGAGTCACATGCTCTACTGACTGAGCCAGCCAGGCACTCCCACCCTCAAAAAATTTAATATCAAGGGGCACCTGGCTAGGTCAGTCAGTAGAGCATGTGTCTCTTGATCCGGGGGTTGTGAGTTCAAGCCCCACATTGAATGTAGAGCTTACTTTAAAAATTGTTTAATTAATTGTTTAATATTGAACCCAAATTATTATTTTCTGTATAGTTCTTATTCAAGTTTCTCCAGTTGACCCCCCCCCCCCCAAAAGTCTTTCTACCCTTTTAAAACTCTGAGAACCTATCTGGGGTCATGTGTTTCATTTTGTTATCATATCTCTTTAGTCTCCTTTATTTAAAAAAATTTTTTTTAATGTTTATTTATTTTTCAGAGAGAGAGAGAGAGAGAGAGAGAGAGACAGAGCATGAGCGGGGGAGGGGCAGAGAGAGAAGGAGACACAGAATCCGAAACAGGCTCCAGGCTCTGAGCTGTCAGCACAGAGCCCAACTCGAGGCTCAAACTCACAGACGGCAAGATCATGACTTAAGCCGAAGTCGGGCGCCAACCGACTGAGCCACCCAGGGGCCCCTCTCTTTAGTCTCCTTTAATCTGCAACATGCCCTCTACCTTTTCTTTGTCTTTCATAACAAATGAACTTTTTTGAAGAGTACAGATCAAAGTATACTGTAGAGTATTCTACAGTTGGGATTTATCTGACTAGTTCCTCATGATAAGATTAAAGTTAAGCAGTTTTGTCAAGAACACAACATAGCTGATGATGTGTATTTTCCACTGCATCACATCAGGAGACAGAAGATGTCAATGTAGCCCATTGGGAGGCCCAATGGTCTAGCAAACCTCTTCACTGTAAAGGTACTAAGGATGCCCTTTAGTAATATAAAGATATGCTGAGACCGTGTGACTAACCTGTTCCCTTGCAACCTTTCACTCAGTGGCTTTAGCATCCATGAATCAGTTATTATAATAGTGGTTTCAAGATGGTGATCTTCTACTACTGCCATTCTTTCTATATATTTTTTTAAATTTTTTAACATTTTATTTATTTATTTATTTATTTATTTATTTATTTATTTTTGAGAGACAGAGAAAAAGACAGAACATGAGCAGGGGAGAGGCAGAGAGAGAGAGAGAGAGGAGCACAGAATCTAAAGCAGGCTCCAGACTCTGAGCTGTCAGTACAGATCCTGATGCAGGACTTGAACCCATGAATGTGAGATCATGACCTGAGCCGAAGTCAGACGCTCAACTGAGTGAGCCACCAAGGCGCCTCTCTTTCTATATTTCTTTGCTGGCATTCTTCTCTACAGAAGTGCTGTCTTATTTTTTAAAAATCACTATGGGATTCAAAGATTTTTTAAAATATAAGAATCCATTATAGTCATTATTTCTTTTTGATGCTCAGTTCTTCCAAAACATAGCCAATAATTCTTGTGTCTGTTTATTCACTCACTCATTCATTGTCCATTCATTCATTTGCCCACTTTTTAAGTTTATTCACTTCATCATTCAGTTGTGGTGGGCTTTTTATAATTGTTGTCGGGCCCACACCCATTTACTGACACCTTTGCAGTAAGTCCTATCCCTGGCACTGGAAGCACAGATAGAGGAAATGAACCGAACCAGGCTCAGTCTCATGAAGAAGATACCCAGTGTGCACAAATAAGCTCAATTTGTGGTGATAAGTGCTGTGAGGAAGGAGGACTTCTGTTGAGGAGACCCACAGGGGAAAGCTCCTTCCGGGGGAAACCCCTAGGGGTGGCAACCATTCATTCCAGCCAGCTTGGGTAATCAGGAAAGACTTCACCAGGAAGGAATTATCTGGACTCCACCTACAAGGATTATGGACTTCAGAGAAGGTGCAGGGCATCCTGGGCAGAAAGGGAACATGTACCAAAGCAGGGAGGTATGGCTGTAGAATAGCAAGATGTCTTCCATGGTTGGCATGTAGAGGGAGTTCTGAGAGAAGAGCTGGAGAGGGTAGAGGAGCCAGGTCATGGAGCCCACGAATGTCCTCCTAAGAAGCTTGGGCTGTTTCCAGCATGCCAGGGAGCTCCGGGTGGCCTTCGAAGCAATGATTCTGTTATAAATTCTTCATGAGTGCAACTACATGGTTTTATCAATGATGCTGAAGGAGCTACACTTGGGCCTGTGGATGTTGGTCAAGGCTTTGTCATTGGTTCCAGTATAAATGGACGCTTTATTCCAGTATAAATTGAGACCAGTCCTCTTACTAAGAACTTTTGTTCACATCCAACCTTCAGGATGTTAACTTAAAGGAACTGAGTTTAGACAGCTGAAACCGTGAACTGTAGCACCAGAGGCAGCAACCATTCATTCCAGCTTGCTTCATAGGTCCTGGTGGTATCAGTCACTCCACAGTGGCACAGGCAGCCTGAGCCCTCCTGTGCTGTTCATTCACAGATGACACCTTATTAAGTAAAAAAAAAAATATTTCTGCTAACAATCTCAGGTAAGTTGCATGGTAGGCATATGAACTGAGAGTGATTAGGAGCATTTAAGGTTTGACAAACCTCAAATCAGCAATTAAAAAGAACACCTAGATGGGGCAGGGGAGGGGGGAGTGCCTGGGTGGCTCAGTTGGTTGAGCCAACTCAGGTAGTGATCCCAGGGTTGTGAGATTGAGCCCAGTATTGGGCTCCATGCTGAACGTGAAGCCTGCTTAAGATTCTCTCTCTCTCTCTCTCTCTCTCTCTCTCTCTCTCTCTTTCTTTCCCCCTCCCCGCCCCATTCACTCTCTCTTTCTAACAGAAAGAAAGAAAGAAAGAAAGAAAGAAAGAAAGAAAGAAAGAAAGAGAAAGAAAGAAGAGAGGGAGGGAGGGGGGAAGGAAGGAAGGACACCTTGGATGCAATGTAGAGGACAGAATAACAAGAGATTGAAGCCAGAGACCAGATGCAGGGGCTGTTGCAGTAATCTAGGCCTGAACTGGCACTGAGATGGAGGGAGTAAGATGGATTCACAGATAACGTGATCAGGTCTGTGAGTGACTAACAGACAAGCACATTCTGCTGGGGGTCGAGAAGGGAGTTCAGGAAGGGCTTCCCGGAAGAGGTGGCACTGGCTTTGCTATCAGAGTGGTCCAAATCGCCATCCTCTCTCACCCAGACCATGACAAGTTTCTTAACTGGTCTTCATGCCCCTACTCTCTCTCTCATAGCTGTATCCTTAGTACATTTGGCTCGTAGTAACATGCTCTATAAATATTGGCTTACTGAAAGAATAAAAGTGAGAGCTCAGAAATGACAAGAGTAGGTATGGGTCATTGTGGTCCAAAGGGCTTCATAGAAGCAGATTGCCCTTAGCTGGGTCCTGGAGGGTGAGGAGGAGTGTGTCTGGCTGGGTCCCGGAGGGTGAGGAGGAGTGTGTCCGGGTGGTGCTCAGGCTCTTCTCCCACCCCTCACATCCTATCCTTTGCTTGGCCCGGCACACCAGTTTCAACGAGACATTCCAGTTTCTGTTCTGGACCATGTTTGGCATGGAGGAGCACAGCGTTGTAGACATGCCTCAGTTTCTGGTGCCTGAATTCGTGGGCCGGGCCCTCTACGGCATCTTTACCATCGTCATGGTCATTGTGCTGCTCAACATGCTCATTGCCATGATTACCAACTCCTTCCAGAAGATTGAGGTGTGTGGACTGAGGCCACCTGTGGCCAGGGAAAAGAAGGGACACAGAGATGGAGAGGAAATGGATGCAAGGAGTCCAGACACTTGGGTTCCTCCTCTGGCTCCCCTCCTGTTTTGTTTTGTGGCTTGGGGCAAGTTTTCCTTACCAGGCCTCATTTTCTTCATCTCTAAAATGAGGCTCTTTAATAATGCTATTTGTTTCTCCAGACACAAGATGCTTCATGGTGGGGAGGAAGGGTGTGTTGTGGAAATGTAGATGGGAACATGGGATGGGAGAGGGAAGATGGATGGGGTCAGGTTTGTGGCTGGAGAACAGCCTGGGCAGGAATTGGATGTCAGAGGATGAAAGACAGTGGTGAGGAAGAAAGGAAGGGGGGAGCCAGGTGGGGGAAATGTGAGTGATAAATGGGAATGGGGAGAAGGCGGTGCTTGGCACACTGCAGGAGAGACATGGAGACCAGGGGGAGCAGACTGCGCGGGTAGGAGGGCGAGGGGCCAAAGCAGTCCTTGCACAGCCTCTGCCTCCGGCCTCAGGACGACGCCGATGTGGAGTGGAAGTTTGCTCGCTCCAAGCTCTACCTGTCCTACTTCCGGGAAGGCCTGACGCTGCCTGTGCCCTTCAACATCCTGCCCTCCCCCAAGGCCCTCTTCTACCTTCTCAGGTAATGACCTCAGAGCTTTCGCTCCCAACCCCCCAAGCACCCAGCACCCCTAGCCCAGCTCCTGCCCAATTCCCTACACGCTGTCCCCTGATCAACCGCTGTGGGTCCTCTGAATCTCTCAGGAGAATATTCCGCTTCATCTGCTGTTGCTGTTCCTGCTGTAAAACCAAGAAGCCAGACTACCCGCCAATCCCCACTTTTGTGAGTACCTCATTTGCTTGTCCGTGGTCTTCGTCACAACAGGCCTTCAATGGTATTACCTGTTTGCACACCCTCGTCTGTCTTTCTGGACATGTTCCCCAGAAGGCCAGCTCCTAGGTCCTCCTCTAGCATATGACTGCCTTTCCTTCTTCCTGACTCTGGCCATTTTCTAGATTTCCAACCATGGGTCACCCAGCTTAAACAGAAATCCATGCCACCTTGCTCCCAAGCCACTGACACCCTGTTCAGCTCAGGCACATCCTATAACCTTAAGTGGCCACCGGAGCCTCTGCTGAGCCACAGAAGGATCAAGAAACCCCTACTCCCCCAATTATCCTTTTCAGTATTGTATTTTTATTACTATTTTTACATAATCTTTTTGCCATCAGAAAGAAAAAAAAAAAAAGCTCCCAGCCTTCAGACAAACCTCTTGGCCCTAAACTGAGCCAAGACACAGATGAACATTTAAAAAAAAAAAGTTAAGAAACCAAAGGACAAATGCCCCACAAACTAGGAAATTAAATGGCTGATAGAGGCCTGAGAGAGGAGGCTGAGCCTCCAAGGGGCTCCCTTATCTCTTGTTATCTGTTCCCTAACCCAGGCATGGGCGCTCCATCCTAATTCAGACCAGCGTTACTGCCAGGTCTGTAGGGGGTTCTATCTGTTCCCTTTAAATTTTTTTTTTTTTTTTTAACATTTATTTTTGAGACAGAGAGACAGAGCATGAACGGGGGAGGGTCAGAGAGAGGGAGACACAGAAACCGAAACAGGCTCCAGGCTCTGAGCTGTCAGCCCAGAGCCCGACGCGGGGCTCAAACCCACGGACCGTGAGATCATGACCTGAGCCGAAGTTGGCCGCCCAACCGACTGAGCCACCCAGGCGCCCCTATCTGTTCCCTTTAAAACTTGTTACCTGAGGATCTCTCCAGGCCAGGGTCGCCAAGCCAGATCCCCAGGTGAAGAAGGCTCTTCCTGATTGGTCAATAGTTTGTTCAACAAGTACTTACCAAAGCACACCTATTCTGGAAATAAAGATATGCATAATGGTGGTCCCTCAAGGTCTAGAGTAGGAAGGAGATGGACTGTAATTGCACAGCACAGCCAGCCTATGGTAGAAAGAAGCACAGAGGACAGGCCCCAGACCCAGGAATCCGGGAGTTTCCCGGAGTCTTGAGGGCAGAACAGTATCCTGAAGGGTAAACAGGAGGTTGATGGGCAGATACAGTGGACATGGGAGTTCTAGGCACAGTAAACTGCATGTGTTCAGCATGGGGAAAACAGGATGCTTACAAGAAACTAAACACCCAGGGTTCCCTGTTCCCACCACTTCCTGGCTCCAGGAGTTCCTGTGTAGACACCTCCTTTACCTTAATGGACTTTTGACTCCAAATTCTGGAATATCACCCTATTCCCCCTGCCACTTCCTGTTCCTGTCCAGGCTGCCTGATGCATATTTGCAGACCATGTGTCAAGACTCCTCCACCCTAGGGTGAGACTCTGCCTCTTTGCCTGGGCTTGAACCCCATTCTCTGGGCATGTGCCAGTCTTGAATGGGCATAAGCAGTGTGTCCTGCTGGACTACCCCCCCACACTAGCCAGCTGGAATCACCCCAGTCCTCCAGTGCACCCCCATGGCAGTCCCACCCTTCTCCCAGCTGCCCCCACCTCACTTATTCTTTGATGATCCAATCAGGTGTCCTTTTCCCACCTATCCCACATCCTTAGGAAATGGCGTCCCTAAGTCTTTACTGATTATTTAATAAGATAAATGCTTTACATAACTCTGTAGCTGTAAAGGACCTATCATTCTCTCTCATGCTTCTGCCTGCCCATCTTGGTCAATCCCATCTTTTCCCTGAAAATATTTAAAAAATGTTTTGCTTTTGTCATATTATAAAAGTACATATGCTAACTCTAAAATATCTAGAGAGAAGATAAAACTAGATAAAAACAATTATTTCCTAAGCATGTAGAGAGCCCTTACTCTATGTCCCAGTGAAGTACTAACCTGGGAAGTAGACATTATTACCATTTATGTCTTAAATTTGGAGACACTCAGGCCTGAAGAAATTGAGTAGCTTGCCTGAGGCACAAAGTTGCTAAATGACGGAGCTGGGATTTGAACCTAAGTCATCCCAGTCTAGCACTTTGCCTACTACACCTCTGTTTTCTCTCCACTGTCTGCTCCATCCATATACCCTGCTTGCCCTTCTGATACCGTCCTGAGGCCTATAACTGGACCCCAAACCAATCATTCTAATTGGCATGATGATATCCATCTCATAAGCATGAGCAGGTACCTGTGGGTGCCTCCCCCCAGACCCTAGTCTCCCCCTGTGCAGAATTTGAAAGGCAGAGTTAGCCTGGACTAACTCAAGAAAACCAAGATGGGGTTGGTGGCAGGAGAGAGAACTCAACTGTGCCCGGCTCAACATTTTTGTCTTTGCCCTGCCC